AAACTGGTTTTAGGGCTGTTTGGTTTGTTTTAAGGCATAATGATAAAGTTTAGCTCAGTTTTGCACACAATGGTCACATATTATGCATTTTTCAGTGTAAATTGTCCACAAATGCAGTTTAATAATTTGTTATATTGAATTTGAACAGTCAAGCAATCAATTTACTATTTTACAAATAATTGATGCAGTAATTTGTGCAACTCACTTTTCATGTATGAGGCCTTTTGTGTTTCTGTACTGTAGGGGCGATAGAGATACTTGCCGTTTTTTGCCATTAAACCAGGTGTGTAATTGCTATAAACGTATTGACATAGGGCTGCTCGATTATGACAAAAATCATAATCACGATTATTTTGGTCAATATTGTAATCACGATTATTTAACCCGATTATAATTGGGGCCATATGACCAAAAAATTAATGATTTATTTAAAGATAGCGATCGATATATATGAATAATCTAATTTAAAATAAAACAACATAGTCTTAACTGTAAGAATTAGCCTAAACTTCATTTGTTATTTATTAAAACTGCAAAAAGTCCTTCAGTCAAGAGCAGTGAGTGATTTTGTCTTTGTCTTTTGTCACACAGTCGGCAGCAGGAGGCTGCTGTCACTTTAAGAGCTGCACGGATCAAATTTACTGTTACACACTGTTTGCATTAATTTATTACATAACCGATGAGGGTTTATGTGAATAACCACTAAGTGCCACATTTGACACATTTTTTGCGTGTATCTGATAGGGGTGTGAAACTACACTCATCTCACGGTTCGGTTCGGTTACGATTATCATGTCATCGATTCGGTTCTATTCGATATCACGATGCATCACAATGCATTGACAATGCACTGCATCCTCAATTTTCAATTTTACTTCACATTTATACAATTTTGTCAATAAATACAAGCAGTCAGATATATGAACTGTACCTGACCTGGTTTCTTAAGTTAGTGGTATTACCCCCTGCTAGTGATCTGACATTTGATCCGAGGCATTGGAGCTTGTGTCGAGAATAAATGGGCGTGCTAGATGAGGCCTCGATTCGAAGCTTGTGTTGTGTACATTATTCTTCTATTACATCATATTGATATTCGTACTGGTATTGAATTGCACAGTTTAATGGGTAAATGAATTGATCAGAAACTCAACAAACACACACACACTGTTAGGCTTTTATTTGTGCACGTAACTTGAATCGATCTGTGGAATATGTGGTAGATGCCACGTCCTACGGAGCGTCTTTCACAGGCTTTTGGCTGCTATGTTTTTTATTAACCACCAGATGGCGCTGTTTTTGAGACACTCGAAGCTTTGAATCTTTTCCCGAAACAGTCAGAGGAAAGCCTCAGTGCTTCACGAGGCTTCATTTGCCCATCCCTACCCCCTACATATTTCATTGTGCGTGACATGATTTACACACAGCGTGTGTCTTCTCCAGGTCGTGCTCAGGTTGTTCATAAAAGCCGAAATGTGGCCAGATGTCGGCTTTTAAAGTAGTTGGAGCATTTTTAATTACTCGCACTCGCGTC